GAACCAGAGAAAAATGAAGGAAAGCAAGCCCGTATAGGCATTCAAAAAGGAACAAAAGAGACAAATGCCAAGAAATGCACTTCACAGCAGGATTAGAGGATGGAGCTAGATTAGCATGATCTTGAGCCTCGGATTTAAACAAATTCCAAGCATTATAGCCACATATAGTATAGCAGCCGTAGATATGAATTTGAAAGATCCGAAGGAGAGGAATTAGGCGTCAAGTTATTCCCAGGCATGTGGGTTCGGTGCCCTTCGACCAGAACGCCATATTCCACGACTGAAATTGTTGGCTCTGCAGATTTTTGACGTTAAATGGGAAAAGGTTCCTGTTAACTTTAGTTTCATGGCATTATGAGCTTACTAAACATTCAATCTGCTCGATCTTTATGTCGTATGCTCGTTTTCAGGCAAATCGATTTTCATATATTCACGTTTAGCCAAGATTTATTCAAGCAAGTCTTTAATTCATTTTATAGATGTCCTTGTTTTCTCCGTCGAGGAAGCGGTCGCATAAGGATAGCGAGGACGAGTCTTCATTTAGATTTGATGGAGTGAGTCCACCTACGTTTATTTTGTGTTGATTCAGTTTTTAAACACTCTCCAACTCAAACTTTTTCGAGTTGTGAAAATTGTAGAGTGTAGTACAGGAGTTGCAGGAGGAGTCATATCATTAGTAAGACATGGTCAAAGCGAATTAGTAACACTATTTTTATTTCAAACTTCCTTATTGACGTTACATATTATTGTCCCTAGGCATGGTCCGTTCGGATGTTATTCATCATAAATAGAAATCGCTTTTAATGACCTTTACAAAAGAGTTCCTTCAGGTCAGCGTACTTATTTTTGAAACCATTCGCTTCACGTTGTAGAGATACATGGGTAGACCACAAAAATGCAGTTCGTTTTTCCAGAGGGTCTCCGGGAAACCGTGGAGGTGAGTAAGAAGTATTGCTAGCTCGCAGCCAATTCGGTGATGGGAAGCGCTTCTTTCAAAGAAATGTGGTTTTGGACACATTTTGCTTCAGAAATAGGACCCAGTCATGTACGATCATGGAAATGAAGGCAAGAAATTACAGGATCACAATGTTTCTTTTTGGCGGGAAACGAACCATCTAGCTGTAATTCACTATTTGCTTAGAAGCGTGAAGGATAACAAACATTAATACTGCTGTTTCCCTACAATATGCACAGAATGTTATGGAACTACCTGAAGGGCTTCCCTTATAAGCAAAGGACCTACCGTAATTTACTATGAACCTGCAGTTTTGCGTGTCGCACGCTTTGACAGGCTGTCCTAAGGCGATTGATACCCTAATTCGCTGCGATAAAGGGGACGCGGTCAGGCGTAGAATGTGCACGAGGCAACTCATTCTTCAACCAATTGCTGAGGGCGACGTGAGGGGGCGGTGTGCGACAACATTTGGCTAAAAACGAATCATGCAAAACTATATGAGAGTTTGGCGTCCTTGCTCGCTCAACAAGTGGTGGAGATCTGGGTTTGCGTCACCGCGCCAAGGTCTCCCTATGCGTCCGCCTGAGGCGCCCCTCCCTTCGTCCGCAGCGAACAAGACCACAGACGCAATATTGTCGAATGTTGCTGTGACAGCAATCCGATTTGACTTCAGTAGGTGGGACGGTTGTGTTGTTTCACCATAAGAAGATTTGTACGTCAGGAGTACTTGCGTCAAGTGCGCTTTCAGTGGAACCGTTATTTCTGAGAACTGCTTGAACTTTCGAGGTTTACTTTGAGACATAATATTCATCTGGTCTTCTTTAAAGAGCGGAGATTATGAAGACGAGCATGACGAGTTCGACGATAGTGAGGAACTCGGGCATGGTAAAGAAGATCTTATCTCTCCTCATGTGATGGTTGAACAAATAGAGGTTGGTTATTCAATATTTACTGTCAGATTTATTCTACTGCGATTGAATTTTGTTAAATAAAATCACTAGTGGAACCTTGATTGTTCGTACTGGGATCGCAGCGTACAACATGTGTGAATGGCCCACAAAAATTATATTACTTTGTACAAATTCTCCCCACTATGATGGTTTTTTTTGCGTCACCAAGTATGAACATCCATGGGGCAGTAGTAGCAGAGCAGTAAGCGCGACAACTCTATAAGCAAATACCATACCCTCCAGCTAACTGGGCTCAGTGACAGATTAGAATAAAGCAGCAAAGATGAATCAGTAATGGTTGGAATAAAGCATGTATTTGCAAGGCGGTGCAAGGGCATAGCAAACCAAACAGAATAGCTATCTGCAATGTGCTACGGCTCAGGGAAATCTTGAAAAATAAGCAAGAAGAAAACAAGGACCAGTTACGTATAGTGGTCATAGTAAGGGAAAAGAGGCGGAGGTGGCTGGGCGGCATGTGGCACGCTTTCCACTCGCCGGCTTCAAATTCCGGGTCGACTCTCGCCCAGGCCAACCAAGCCTTCTTTCTCCGGGGACGGTAAATTGGTACCAGATTCGTCTGGGAGGATAAAACACTGACTTGTACATCGGCTGGCCCCGCAAGTCATTGTATAGGCCACATCGCATTCAATGCCACTACTATTCTGAATGAAGTAGAATGCGTGCCGCACCCCCAACGGCAAAGGCCTTCACTTTTTTTTAATAAGAAGAAGTAGCTAGAAGAGGGATAGCAAAAAAAAACAATTTACTTGGGGGGGGGGAAGATGACAGTAAAAAGCCTAGTGCACGTGTGGTAATATAGAAGATCGCAGAGGAGGAGAGGTTTCTGAATGAAAAGGATCTGCTGATTGCTTAAGGCCCTCAATGTAGTACAGCACTGTCGAATAGCATGCCATTTTTTAGTATCGCGGTATGCAGTGTTCTGTAGTATTCGACGTAAATATTTTCAAAATTCATGATTTTGATGGGTGCATTCCAGAGCTTTCACAAATATGCAGAAGAACGCGGGAAGCTGTCTGTCCCTTGGTCACGAATGAAAGGCGTCTTTGATGATTGGATGAGACACCAAAGTTCTTCGGTCGCAGACCCAGAGTTAGTTGTAGTTCAGTTGTTATGAAAGAGCTGATGACCTGCAGCTTTCCGTTATTGAGAATCGTTCAACGTTAGCAGTTTGATATGTATTGGATTGGCCCACAAGTTGGCGTTTTTCTAGAAGTTTCCTTTTAGTGGGAAAATTTCACTATATTATTATAATACATATAATTTCATTATATATTATAATACATATATAATATATAATACAATAATATTATATTATGTTATAATACATTGGATTTTGCGCTGTTTGATGGGAGATTTATTGAAAACTGGCAGCTTTCAGTCGCGAACCAAGTTCAAGTCGTCCTAAAAAGCGCGTTCCTCGGTCATAAACATCTCAAGTTCCGAGCTGCTTTTACATCCTGAATGCTTAGATGAAGTGCAAAAAGGGTGTCAAAAATTCACATTTGTGGCGACACCGACCCTCTATTTTGATGTATGAATTGATAAAAACCAAGAGAGAGTAGATAACTGAACGCTTTCACTAGAAAAAGAGGAATTATCAAACAGAGCACGTCGTTGAATACTCTTCTTTTTTCACACGCAGTATCGTGTAAGAATAAAAACGCCATCACTGATATCCGCCGATTAGAATACTTGTGTAGCGCAAAATAGTCTGGTCCCAAACGCGATTATCATAGTAAGAACACTTTAATTTTTTTTATTATTGAACTGATTTTCATTACTGCATATTGATACACTTGTATAAGTATTTTTCAAAAACTGCGAGAAAAGCAATTCTTATTGAATATTAAGCAATACAAAGACGCAACTTCATTGTACTCATTTCTTCACAGCTTTTAAACTGTTCAAATTATCGTTTCCAGAATGCTGTTAAAGTCAATCAAACGGTATCTGACGTCATCCCTCAAACCCACTAACATGTCTCTGGGCAGTTGTTTCAGGTTGGAAATGTTTTTCTTCTTGGAAAAATCCACTTTTCGCCCATCAGTTTGTCAGTGAATAATGCCCAAGCAAAGCATTACTGGTCGAAGTGACTACTTTTAATTTTCCCGGTTTTCACGCGTTTGTTTTTTTTCACTCCGCCTTTGTGGAATTCTATAGGATAGGGAGAGTTAGGGATAGCGTTCTTTTCACAAAATTGTTGCAGCTATTCCCTGTGACTGCTTAATTTTGCCCATCCTTCAGACTCTCGAAACGGACATTCCATTTAGCGGAAAAGATTTTTCAGTTTTTATTCGGTTTATTTCATGTTTCGCCATATTGGCACCACGGACTGCAAAGTTGCAAATGTTCGCCATCAGAACAGCAAACCGGGATAATCATGAAGCACTTAGCATATAAGTATTGTATTTTAAATAGATTTTTGTGCTTCAGAAACGTGCGTGAGTATCTTGATCGCCCCGAAAGTGTTCTAATGCACAAAGACTTCCCTGTGAAGCCTCCATCGCTCTTCCAATACTATTCTAAAAAATTTGGATATACCGGAGGAGTTTCAAGATATAAGGTAATAATTTGAAGCGCTTTCAGGTGTCATTAAAGGCAGTTGGCACGATAACCCGGTCTAGAATAGTAGCAGGGGTGCTACATAGTTGGACAATGGCGAAAAAGGCGAAATGAAACGGGCAGAAACATGCAAAGAAGCATTTTCTTCACACGACTCAGAAAGCAGTTTCGGACGGGTTCGCCGCTGGCATCGTGCCAATAACCGCAACGGTGGATACGGCTGCATGTGGGTACTCATGTATCCATGCAGCACCACAGCCGCTTCATATCAATCCTTTGCTTCATATCTTACTTCGCAAGTGAAGCGACATGCATCAGGACCGGTTGGGCATTTGTGGGTGGGCGGGGTGGTGAGCCGGGTCGGTATGTTGCAGCTTGATAGGGCGCTATGAGGGTATCTTCCTTGGAAAGGCGCCACGTAGCGCCTGCTCAGGGGCGCCGAGTGCTGTCCTGCCAGGCATTTTGCCTACATGTCTTGAAGATTTATCGTGCCTGTTGCCTTTAAAACCAAGTTGTGACACAGCTTATCTGTGAAGCCAATGAAACTATTCCGCAGTTTAGGAGATAGCTGATCGGATGAAAGAAGATCACGCTGGACGCGCTGAATGCGAGCAGGAGTTATTAGAACTTGAGGTATGCACTATAGCAATACAATTTCTTTTCAGGCAGACTCTTCTGTGCAACATTTTACAAATTTTTCTAGCCTTAGGCCCTTCCTTGAGAAGTGTTTCTGTTATCTGTTCGGCTATGTGATTTTGAGAATGTTAATACTGCGCGACTGCAGTCGCGAACTATGAACCAATCCCAGGAACACTGGCTATAAAACGAGATTACAAAACTTTGACGGTTTTCGTTGAAAGACCGCAGGATATTGAAGGCAATTTCACCTGAGGAAGCAGCAGTCACTGAACTACTCGTCCGAGTGGGGAACGACGTGGAGTAGTTTTATCAATGCTTAATAATAAACAAACGAGTTATCGGTTGCTGTTACTATTATTGTTAACTTATTGAATCGGATGGG